TAACGTGCAGATGGAATATTTGATCTATTTTAACCAGGCATTTGCATCTTGGTATCCAGTCTTAATTGCTAAAGTTTGTTTTAAGTCTTTAAATTCTATGATCCTCTAGTAAAATGAATGTATGGTTTTAGGAAATCACAAAAACTGGTTGGGGCAGTCCATCCTTGCTCTTTAGTGGTCCACAGAACGTTGGACCAACTGTGGCATGAAAGCTCTACATCGGGGGGCAACACTCCTGGTTGGCACAGGGGTCTTTATCGAAATCTCCCTGGATTAAATGGTCCCAGTTTACTAATGCCCAGTCTGAGGAGAGTCAGGAGGGACAGAAGTACTTTTCTGAAGTAGAAAGCTGTCTTTGACTTGGCAAGTCCTCACAGGGTATAACAAAGCAAGCATTAAATGCAAGAGTTAGAGGTGAAATTGACTTGGCTATGTTAATAACTAGATGGTCAGCAATAGAACGAGGAAAGAAAAAAGAGTAATAGAATAGATGAAAAGAGTTAAATTTTTCTTAGCTTTAATTTGGTAGGGTTTTCCACTGGGACTATGGCCCATGACTCTGGAGGTCATGGCGCTTTCTTGACTCGGGTGTGATGAGTCCGTCCTTTCTTTTTTTTCCTTAGGATTCTTCTGAACTGGTGACGTGTGCTCACAATGAGGTTTCCTCTAAGAGTTTGTTTGTTTTTTTTTTACTTTTTTTTTGTTAGCAAAGCAGTTGCTGCTACAGATTGAATGTATTTGGGCCATCTGTCGGTTAACGGGTTAAGGATTTTTGATAGGAAGGCCTCAGTGCTTTCAGGATAAGTCCTTGTTTACACTGACAACAAAGTGGTACTGGAGTGTTATAAGGTTATGGAGAATACCTTCAATTATCAATTATAGGTTTTAAATTTACCTTAGCTTTTAAAGGAATAGGGTACACTTTCTTTTTAACTACTTGTATATCTATCTCTTTGACTTTCCTTTTGCCTCTATCTGTTCTCTCTCTCTGCCTCTTTCTCTCTCTCTCTCTCTTTGACTCCCTCTTTGTCTGTCTCTTCCTTTCTGTCTCTTCCTCTCTCTCTTTGCCTTTTTTCCTCTCTGTCTTTTTGTTTTCCTCTCTCTGCTGGTCTTTCCTTGCCTCTGCCAGCCGCTTATGCTGCTGTTCTCTCAACCACTGTGTGTTGGGGGCAGGGGATCTAAAACCAGCTGTAACCAAGTGTCTATGTACAGGAACTGCTCTGGGTTCCCTGGCTTACAGGTTACCTTGTGCCATACCTTTGAAACAAAGGACCTCTCCAGGCTTCCTTACAATGGCCAACCTATTTCTAATGCTGGCCAGTCTATCTTACACAAAGTTTTAAGTTTTCCTAGAGTCATAGTACTCCATAGTCTCCTTTAAATTCTTTCTTGACATTTTTCAATATAGTTCCTAGTAGCGTGGGCTTATTTGTGCCTGACCTATGCTTCTTTGAGACAAACCACCATGCTCACACCACACGCACACCACAAAACAAAGAATGGGTAAAAAGGCCACACACACACTTTTGCAGTTTGTGCCAAACTAAAACCAAAACCAAAATCAGAGTATCCAGAAATCCAAGCCAGGTCAAAACCAAAACCAAAGTATCAAGCAATCAAAGTCAAGTCAAAAAAAAAACCAAAGTGCCGGTACAGGCACACGAAGGGTGATCAGGCCATGCTTCCACTCAAATGGAGTGGGCAAGTTCCCAAGACCAATCCTGTCAAGCAATTCAAACCAAGTCAAAACCAAAACCAAAACCAAAGTGCCAATAAAGGCACGCCATGGGTGATCAGGCCATGCTTCCACTCAAACAGAGGGGGCAAGTTTCAAAGACTAGTCTTACCAAGTTTTAGATGTCCAGCCTCCAAGTGCCCGTTCCTTCCCGGTGTTCAGCTCCTGCGTTGATTCTCCATGGGGGCCTGCCACACACTGCTCTGGCGAGGTGTCCCACCGGGGCAAATGCCTACTTGGGAGCGCTCTCAGGATCCACGTCACTCGGGCTGGTCGGAGTCCCCCACAGGGATGTTCCACAAGTCGCAGACAAAACTCCTCAGACACCGAGTTAAAGAAGAAAGGGGTTTATTTGGCTGGGCGCATTGGCAAGACTCCTGTCTCAAGAGGTGAACTCCCCAAGTGAGCAATTCCTGTCCCTCTTAAGGGCTCATGACTCTAAGGGGGTGCACATGACAGGGTCGTGATCGATTGAGCAAGCAGGGGATACGTGACTGGGGGCTGCAGGCACTGGTAATTAAATTGGAGCAAAATAGGATAGGAATTTTCACAGTGCTTTTCTATACAATGTCTGTAATCTATAGATAACATAACTGATTAGGTCAGGGGTCGATCTTTGACTACCAGGCCCAGGGTGTGGCGTTCAGCTGTCTGCTTGTGGATTTCATTTCTGCCTTTTAGCTTTTACTTCTTCTTTCTTTGGAGGCAGAAACTGGGCATAAGACAATATGAGGGGTGATCTCCTCCCTTAAAAGGGTAAAGTCAAGCTGGGAACTATGTCAGACAAACCTGCCTCCCATTCTATTCCTAAATAAGATATAGCTACCAAGATAAGAGGCTACATACCTCCCTTAAAATTTGCATACAAGGAAATTCCTTGTGGAAAAAGGACGGACAGAACTCAAAAGTTACCCCTCTAAGGTGCACCTGAGACAAATGCATATCTGATTGTTTCCCCTCCCCTACTGTTTATGTAAAAATGATGATTCACTAAGCCAGACTAAATTGTGCATTCAGTGGAAGGCTGATCAAGGACTCAAAAGAATGCAATCTTTTGCCTCTTATCTACTCATGACCTGGAAGCCCTTGCCTCAAGTTCAGCTTTACCTGACTAAAGTACATATTACACATACTGATTGATGTCTCATGTCTCCCTAACATGTACAAAAGCAAACTGTACCCTGATCACCTAGGGCACATGTTGTCAGGGCCTTCTGAGGCTGCCATGGGCACAACCTTAACCTTGGTGAAATAAACTTTCTAAACTGATGGATGCCGGATGCGGTGGCTCATGCCTATAATCCCAGTACTTTGGGAAGCTGAGGCGGGCAGATCACCTGAGGTCGGGAATTCGAGACAAGCCTGGCCAACATGGCGAAACCCTGTCTCTACCAAAGATACAAAAATTAGCTGGGTGTGGTGGCACACACCTATAACTCCAGCTGCTCAGGAGGCTGAGGCAAGAGGATCACTTGCCCGGGAGGCAGAGGTTGCAGCCACTGCACTCCAGCCTGGGTGACAGAGCAAGATGCCATGTCAAAAAAGAAAAAAAAAATTGATGGAGAGTTGAGATAACTTTTCGTTCACAATGTAAATGTTTATTTAAAAACAGACATTATTTTATGTACCATTACAAATATACTACTACTCAACTGCTCGGGAGGCTGAGGCAGGCGAATGCTTGAACCGGGGAGGCGGAGGCTGCAGTGAGCCGAGATCGCGCCATTGCTCTCTAGCCTGGGCGACAGAGCGAGACTCCATCTCAAATAAAACAAAAAGAAAACAAATATACTGCCAATTAAACTGTGATTTTGTCAAAAATAAATGTTGTTGATGACTTTACTTCCATTAAAGCCACTGTAGTAGCCAATGGAAAGCTTCCTTTTTGTTCTCTGAAGGTTCACTGAAAAGTCAACAGACAAAAGGCAGATTAATTGGAGAAAGGGCATACAAATTTATTGACATGCACATGGGGGAGAACTAGAGTGATTCTGCTGAAGCCCCAAATGGGGTTCAGAAACTTATATACCATCTTGAGGTTACAGAATGGGGGTTTGGATTGTGGCATAACAGGTTATGGGAGTGGGAGACCTGGCTGACAACCACGGTCTTGTTATGTAAATGAGACCTCACAGGTAGAAGTCCTCAGAGAGAACAGCTGGTGCATGTTTCTTTCAGACCTCTGCAAACCAACAGTAAAATTCGAAACCCTCCAACCTACTGATAGACCCTCTGCTTGCCCAAGGGCATTCTTAAGTTAACCTGAAAAACCAGTTCAGGCAATGACGCGTGGGGGTTGGCCATGCCTCATAATACACGCCTCCCTTGGAATTCAGGCACAGCAAGCCAGCATTAACGTTAAAACAGAGACCTTAAGACTGACAGAAAAGACTCTTTTGCAGAGGTTTCTTCATTACCTTCAGGGCACACAGGATTCTCGCTTTCCACTGTACGGTCCTCACTTTACCTGTTCAACCTTCATTTATCTTTCACTGCCTACTCCTGGGTAACACTTGGCCAGAGCACAGGTTTCCCACATCCTGAGGACACCAGCAGGCAAGGTTTGAGTGAGGGCTCTGCCTGGCTGGCGGTCACCCGCAGGTCCACAGCAGGACATGAGCAGAGGTGAGGGGGGCGCCGTCACCAGCTGCGACTCTTCCAAAGACCAGAACCATCCCTGAGCACCCGGAGGAACCAGGTAAGCGGCTCGGAAGCAGAGGCGCCAGGGGCGGGGCTAACGCTGGGAGGTTTCCTTGCCCCGCTCCCTCGCTTGGGTCCTGCAGCCGCTCTCGTTAGGCGCGTTCCCGCCTCCTGCCCTCCGGAAAGTGACCGCCTCTTGCCTTCCGGCCCCGCGCCGGACTTCCGCCTACCGGCCCGGCTGTG